TCAATTTTACAACTTAAACTGTGCACATGGTCAAAATTTCATTGCTGTACATCAAAGGATAAGAAAGTAGGACACTTTCCCCTTGGGCAAGGCAAAATTTTGACCCAAGGGTTTAATTCAAAACAATCTTGATACAGGTCCACCAAACAACATTTCAAGTCAAATATCTAAGCTGTAGCTTTCCCCCATTCAGAAAACATTTGTTTTATTTTCTGTTTTTACTCTGTGTACATAATGAGAATCACTGCCCCCGGACAGGGCCAATTTTGACACCAAGGGAAAAAATTGAACAACTTTGGTAGAGGACCTATAGATGATATTATATAGCAAACATGAAAGCTCTATGCCTTGTACCTTCAGACAATTTTTTTTTTACTTTAATGTACATAATGAAAATCAATGACCCCCGGGGTGGAACCAATTTTGACCAAAGGGCTATAATTTGAACAATCTTGGTAGAGGTTCACTTCGCAAAGTCTCATGCCATATATTTAACCTCTAGGCTTTGTCAATTCAGAGAAGAAGTTTTTTCAAGTTTTTACTTTATACATATAAGGAAAACTATCGCCTCTGTAGCAGGGCAATTTTAACACTAGGGGCATACTTAAAACAACTTTAGTGGAGGACCCATGATATTACATACCAAATATAAAATCTCTAAGCCTTGTACCTTCAGACAAGAAGTTTTTTTTTTTACTATATGTACATGGTGAAAATCAATGACCCCTGGGGTAGGACCAATTTTGACCCCAGGGCTATAATTTGTACAATCTTGCTAGAGGCTCACTACATAATGTTTTATGCAAAATATCTAACCTCTAGAATTTGTAAATTTAGAGAAGATGATTTTCTAATTTTTTACTATATACATATAAGGAAAACCTATGGCCCCCGGGGCGGGGCTAATTTTGACACTAGAGGCAAAATTTGAACAACTTTGGTAGAGTACCTATAGATTATATTATATAACAAATATTAAAGCTCTAAGCCTTGTACCTTCAGACAATAAGATTTTTTACTATATGTATATATTGAAAATCAATGACCCCCGGGGCGGGGTCGATTTTGACCCCAGGGCTATAATTTGAACACTTTTGCTAGAGGTTCACTACACAATGTTTCATGCAAAATATCTAACTTTTAGCATTTGTCAATTGCTAGATTTTTTTAAAGTTTTTACTATAAGTTTTTAATATATACATATAAGGAAAACCAATGACCCCCGGGGCGGGACCGATTTTGACCCCAGGGCTATAATTTGAACAATCTGGGTAGAAGTCTACCAGACAATGCCTTACGCAAAATATCTAAGCTCTAGGACTTTTGGGTCTTTACAAGAAGGTATATTAAGTTTTTACTATATGTACATATAGTGAAAATCAATGACCCCGGGGCGGGGCCGATTTTGACCCCAGGGCTATCATTTGAACAATCTTGGTAAGGGTCAACCAGACAATGCTTTATGCAAAATATCAAAGCTCTAGGCCTTTTAGGCCTTTACAAGAAGGTATTTTAAGTTTTTACTATATGTACATATAGTGAAAATCAATGACCCCCGGGACGGGGCCGATTTTGACCCCAGGGCTATAATTTGAACAATCTTGGTAGAGATCTACCAGACAATGCTTTATGCAAAATATGTAAGCTCTAGGCCTTTTGGGTCTTTACAAGAAGATTTTTTAAATTTATTCTTATAATTCCTTTTGGTTGCCATGGCAACCAGATTTCTGCATGGAATAAATTTCTTTGAAAAACTTTTGGAAGCCCTTCACCCAGGGATCAATCCTGCCAAGTTTGGTTGAAATTGGACCATTGGTTTTTCACAAGAAGATTTTTGAAGTTCACTATATAATCTATATAACACACAAACAAACAAACACACACACACACAGGTGAATCGCTATATGCCACCGCATCGCAGATGCTGCGGTGGCATAAAAATATTTGTAATTATATAATTATCTATATTACACATTTTCATTGATAGTTTTATTTACATAAATGAAATATCTGAATAAATATTTTAACACAATGTTAAGAATACATAAATATATCTTACATTTCGGAACGGAGAGATCACCAAGAGCATCAATGGGCACACTAACGAATAGTTGCAAGTTGTAAACGCTTTTATTTGGACTGTTCACGAGGAACTGTGGAAAGTGCAAAATCTCTGAGGCACAGTCATATCAGTTCTTATTTTCCAATATTAATAATTATAATAACTTACTAAAAAATACAACAACATTAAAAAAAGAACGGAGCAGCTTTGTTGATATATTAGTCTATAAAATCATTAATTTATGACACAGCACAAGAAAAGACTTTGAATTTCTTGTTCCTCAAGCCATAATGCAGAAACCAAACACTCGCATTCATGTAACATTTATTTGTATAAACATAAAATCTTTATATGCAACAAATATATCATAAACTCTCATGTATATTTCACAATACACACGACATTTCAATATGTTAACAGTATGTTTTTAGACTAAGGTATTTCCACCATTTCAGTTATATGTTTATTATCATCATTTAAGTTATATGTTTATTATATCATTAAATACACCTGGACATACAAAATGAGAGTAAACGAAAAAATCAATTTATTTTTATCATTTCATTCAAACCATTTGCATTGTTGAGTCAAGGTCAAATATTGCAAATGCACAGCTTTACAAGTGCAGAGAGACCTCAAACTCTCATCGTGTATTGTTCCAGGCACACGTAGACACGTAGAATCACGGATACACAATTAGCAATTTTAATATGGACCACCATCAGTGAAGGTCAAACAATAAAAAGTAAGTCGCTTTCAACTTTTTGTTTTAGATAATGAAGAGAAAACGATCTCATTATCATCATTAAATTTATATTTAAACATAAACATACCTGCTATCTATGTATGATCTGTATTAAAAGACTATATCGACACTGACATTATCAAACAGATAAACAAACAATATAAAATAATGCATGACTATTAATGAATAAAACAAATACGTTTTGGCAATATTGGTACAGTGGAATGAAAATCGTTTTATTATTTACTTACTATACACCTATCTGTGCACATACTTGTATAATGTTTAAAACATGAATTGTAATAAAACAAAATATATATAAATATGTAACCTATCACAGCGTCGCATAAAATACAAATGTTAATACAAAGCTTGGTCTGATATCATAAATTATTGTGAACAATGGAGAATGACCTTGATAAAAAAACATATATCATTACATACATAGTCATTTTAGAATTGTGCTTATATCTAAGTCTCGCTGTTTGATTTTTAATATGTAATTAAAAACTAAGATAGATTGATTGCTAAATATTACTTGTTAAATAGAACAATGTCCTAACTGATATGAGCTTACTTTACTCATAAAAATGTTGTCAATCAGTTTATATTATTCAAACATTTGTTTAGTTAAATAACATGTTTGGGCGTATTTCAAAACAAAATGAACAACCTGTTAAATGTATAAATTTCAAAAGTTGTAAAATATTAAGACAGTTGTTTGTAATTAAATCAACATGTAATATGAAAATATACATGGATTTAAGAATAAAAGACAACGTCAGAAACATTGATTGGATTCGCTCATAAATGAGTTTTTGTTCTGAATATTTTGATTTTAATCATCACTTTAATAGTCATCTCATCTATCAAATCATTGTATTTGCTCATTTAATGAAATTACAATCAACGGAAGCACTACTCTTTTTGTACATGTCCATCAAACTAAAAATGAAGTTCTTCCACAGTTGATTTATTTTATTCTTGTTCAGAATTAAAGTAACAGGCAGACAAATGTTAATCAAAATCAAAAACTTATTTTACCTTATTTCATCAGGTATTTACTTAAAGAAATGTACATTACTTGAAACATTCTTAAGCTATTAAAAACAAAAAATCTTTATTAACATAAGATAATTTATTGTAAACCAAAAGTATTGATATAAACTTTAGGTTTGCGTCTCCTTTTATTCTATGTCTAACGTAAAACGTCTGCTATACGTCTGCTTGCACGGATGAATAGCTGCTTGTTGCCGGAGAGTCTAAAGCTTGAACTCGAGTAGGTGGAGGTGGAGGAGGAGGTATTTTATGTAACAGACAATCATGTTCTGGTATAAGTTGCATTGTAGTAGCAGACATATGATCACGTGAATAATTGTCTTCAGGCACAGCGTGGATATGACGATTTTCACTTTCCTTGCAATTATCGATAACGTTGTGATGATGCGCATCAGGGGAATCTGACTGATATTTGTGATTTCTATGATTTGGAATTTTTTTCACAACGGCGTAGTTGTCTTCATTTATATTCAAATGATGTGATAAATTTTGTAAAGGCATTTCACCTGTTTGCCGACGTTCATCGTCGATTGAAAGTTGCTTTACTAGTTGAGCACTTAAATTATTGGGTACATTCCTATTAGGAACGGCTTCGTAATTCGTTCTATGATGATCATGAATTTGTGAATATACTTCTAAATCTTCTTGCTCATCATCAAGGCTTGAATACGCTGATTCAGCATTTTGTTGTTTTCCGTTACTTCTACGTAACGGTGGGTGTGGTAGGAAAGACGAGACTCCACTACCCGAATCACAAAATATTGTTTCATCGTCAGTATCCGTATTAGGTCTATTGAAGTGAAATATCGTTGTCTCGTACGTAGAAGAGTCTTGTTTTATATCTGAACAAGGGCTTTCATGAGATTTATCACCTTGTCTGTTAGAAGATGACGGCACAACTTCACCATCTTGAGGTAAAAGTTGCATCTCCGTACTCTGCTTGTCATCTAGTGTAGTAGCTGTCTCACTTTTTTTGGCTGTCTCCCGTTTCTTTTCCTTTCCAAGTATTATGTATCTGAAATTTGATCTGAAATATGTAAATTCGAGTGTAAACTTTTTTAAAATATATGTCAGTAGATTTAAACACAAGCAAATCGTATTTTACAACTTTTGATTAAAATCTTAAAATCTTAATATCTGAAAGCGAGTTCTTGATTAATGTCCGTTCGTTTTGGAACATGCATATTAGTGTGTAATAAAACTCATGACCTACCACTGTTTTACAAACAACGTATCTATGCATTTAGATAAACGACATGTAATAAACAATATAGTAGAAACACTAATTTCTACACTGAGTTATGCGTCTATCAGAAAAAAGTAAATTGCTCGACAAATTGTTAAAAGGAAGCTAAATGCTATCATTCTTTTTGCATAGAAAGTTGAAAAATTTAGACACCATAAACAGCAGAAGACAGTAACAAAAATGTCTCATGTATACCTATTTTTTTATTTGATATAAAATAAAAATCATACCGGTAGCAAACAAATGCTAGCGCCATTATGAGGGCAACTATAAGCAAACCAAGGAAGACATTAACTACCACTACTCCTGAAACAGAAAGTGACCATGTAAGTATATAAATAAACCACAATGAAGCATATAACAAAATTATTAGTGTGAAATTTCTTCCAGAAAATATAATCTGAATGTTTATTAACGATTTAATACTAAAGAAATAATGCCTGAATAAGTCCTTGTGAGATAAACATTATGTCCTTTGAAAGTATAAACCAGCTTTGTTGCAAAATATTATTGTAGATTAGATATTTTTTGTTTTCAAACATCTTAATTGAGAAATATTATACATCAGATACACCATTTTTATCATTATACTTTACCACATGATTTTACTTTTCAAACGAAAATTTTTAGTAAAGGCAAAGAAGAAAGACATGTTATGTATGAACATCCAATGAAAATGGAAATGAGGAAATGATAAGATAATGTTCATGGAATGATAAGGTAGGCATACGTAGAAGTGTAACCATACGCCAAGGGTCAAAAGATTCCTTATCTTCATTCTTTACTTCTTTTGTCGGCTCAACTGTAAAAAAATGATAAGCAAGTTATATATGTCATAATAACACTCTAAGAAGTCTCACGTTGCCATCTTGCTCTTTGGGTTGATGTTAAGTATTTTATAATCATAAAACATCAATCTATACACAGTCTATTGTGAAACTCCAGTGTTTACACTTATTTCAAAATTGTGATTTGTAAGAAAATATGAATAGTTATTATCTGAACATTCAACACTGCTACCAGCAATATCTTTAATATGTTCGCTTTTATGTTCTTGTTTTTTGTTATTCCCAACAAATATTTGCTTAATATCGTAGTCTCAATCCATTTTAATATATTTCAAGTATTCATTTGGAATTAAACTGATTAATAAATTCAAAATATGCAATTAATTCAGGCATGTATTTATAATATGAAAATGTGAAAATTAAAATGTTGTTTTACCTTCTGGGTCCCCTACACTACTGTCGTTGATAGGTTGGTCCTCTGGTAACAGCAGACGACCTGTCGTAGGTTTGACATATGCCGTGGCTTTGGTTGTCTGGGGTTGTGGTAATGTATATCGCACTGTAAATATGGCAGAGTTTCGTTTCTCACACGGCGAAGCATACTGTTCATAAGGTTCTATAGATGCAGATGGTTGTTTCACTGAAAAAGATGTCTTACCATACAGGAAATGAAAATATGTTTACGTTTGTGAAAGCAGATATTTTACATTTTGATGGATGAAAATTAAAAATTGTAATGATTCATTAGGAAGTACTGATCGTTGCACTTGCAATTATATTCCATGATCTGGTCCAACCAAACAGTGCCTGTCTCATTTCCTATTATGCGCTTTTATGGTATTTAAGAAATAGGTATGCAGTTTTCATTTAGAATGAAAGGCGAATAAAGGAACGGTACCATTGCTTAATGATGACATATTATATAAATAGACCCATAATATATTTCCTGTACAAAATATTATTTCTTGGGGGCCGTGAGGGATTTTGAACTAATTCATTATCCCTCATGTATAGACTCAATCAAACCGAGTCTGCAATTGTCATGTACTTTTGTTGTTTGTTGTGATTAATGCTTCCTGGGGATCACACTGTTTCCAGATGTTTATACTCTATAACAGCAGGTGCCAGGTGCCTTGTGGCAGCTGTTAAAAGTTGGCCCTACTTCATTTCAGTGTAGTTATATTTTTGGTCCTTCGGGATAATTGATGCCAGCACTATTAAGTGTTGATAATTGAGTATCGCTCTTGAGAATTGAGTACTGCTCAAGCCGGTGCTAGAGGGAGTGAGGGATTTTGCACTCATTCATTATCCCTCATGTACAAACTCAATCAAACCGAGTCTGAATAATTAATGTAATTTTGTTTTGATTATGCTTCCAACGGATACTTTGTTTCCAGACTTTTATTCATGTATGTTCATAAACGAAACATTATATTTGAAAAAAAATCGAGAGAACGACGACCTGATTATTGAAACAACATACTTTTGACATAAATTGTGTTAGCGTATTTCATAAGGTATAGCTTTTTTAGCTAACTGAGACAATGCTACAATGCAGGCCCGTTTAAGATAATAAAAATAAACACAACTTGTTCCCAAACTGTTAAACATTGTAAAACAGCGGTGTTAGGTAAGTACGAAATTAAATCATGTCAGTCCTACATAGTTTTTCTATCATCGTTGACAATCGTTTAATGTTTCGTTAACTTAAAGTTAAGCAAAAATCAGTATTTTTACAACAATGTTAAACGTTTAAAAATCGCAATAAGGTTCAAATTTAACCGGAAGTATGACATAAATACATGTTAACAAAACATTCACTCGCTCAAGAAAATACAATTTGTTTAAATAAATATCAAATAAATATAATTTAACAATGATCAGATACATGTTAAACAGTTATATACTTTGTTTATGCTTTACCATGAAAGGTTGGTTTCGAAATAGTCTGTGAAACTACAACTATTCAAACATTTGCAAAGTGACCTTTATGACCTTAACTTCAACTTTCCATTGTGCCTATACTAAAGCAATAACATGACACCCATTCACCATCTAAGAAATAAAGAACCGATTACATTCTATTCGAAAACACAAGGAGAAATTTCAGACAACTTAATCATTATATCGTTGACACATAAACTCCTAAAGGGCATATGCATCAAAGATATTTCAGACACAATGAATTAGAGGTTAATAAGATCTACTGAAGTGACAGTTACATTAATGTAAACGTCTGTTTTATTTAAAATTGTAGTGTGTATCACTGCCCTTACATTGTATTTCGCTATTCACGTCGGTCAGATCCAGATTGTTTTCTTGAATTTACTATCCTAAAATATCACACTTAAGATGAATTCTAAGGACATTGTTATTACTATAATAAATCGAATTTTGAAATAACAAATTGAGAATGCCATGCGCCTATTCTCTTTTTATAAAATTAAGTATTAATATGAAAGGGATCTACTCAAAAAGAACAGGTATAATACGTATATCAAATCAATTCAAATCTATTTTACTTTAAAAAGAAATAAAGATATTTACCTGAATAAGATACCAAAAATCGGTTTCCTCGGTCTTCTCCCTTAAGAAATTTGTAATGTGTGACATAGACAGTACCACATGACCTGATTACAACATTGACTCGACCTTCATCACAAAACCGATCTATTGTTTGTTGAAGTGTCTCACATAAGGTGTATTGAACCTGTAATCGATCAACACTACAAGTTTATTAAAACAAACATGTAAGCAGCAATACGTTTTGTGCAAAACCGAGCAATTTTATTCAGTGCAACAAAGAAATCAGAATAAATCAGATAGCCAGAAATGTCTACATTCTTTTAGATGTTTCAGTAAAATATATTGTTATCGAATTATCAAAACATATATTGTATAACGTATAGAGTTTACTTACTAAAAAAGCATAATGATAGGTGTACACATATAAAAACAACGGTTCCATACAATTTACTATTTAGCCATGCTCAATTTTCTTAAGTGTCAGTCACACAAACAATTTAAAATTAACATTTTATTTCCAATTGAGCATAGCAATCAAATTTTCAAGCATTCTCTCAGACGTCAGTGTTCTAATCAATTTCTCTAGGATTTCAAAACTGATCCATTTGTGTTTCATTTAATATGAAAACCTTGATGTTTCTTGGAAACAAGAACGAATCGATGGATTATATGCTTTTTTAATAATTACAAATTGTCGGGTCAAATCAGACGTTTTTGTGTTTTTAATTCTTGGATAGTTCTTAACGGGTTTTGTCGTTTAATTTACTTATGTTAATACATTATTAAAGTTTCGAATGAAGATGATTGCTTTCAAGCGTATGAAGAAATATCGTCTGAAATGATTTCATAAAATCTATCAACAGTACAATTATATTGGTTTCATAATCTTATAGTCGATTTCCGGAAGAGTTGTTACATAGAATATCTCAGTCATTTAGCACACATGAATATTGTATGTTATCAAAATAAAATGTAAACTGCGGAAATAAATACAAATACAATAAGTACATAAAACTGATAGCTTGTATAACTATACATGTATATAAATACCTATATTAGAAATATACTTCGTCCTAAAATATACAATTACTTCATGAAAACATGGTCATAAAGAAGAACAACATAATTTAATTGTGATAATTTACACACGTAGTCACATAAATATTCTGTTACAAATGATATGAATACCTGCAAAAATTGAGAATCGCATAGGTGTTGACCTTCCACAGAGTACGCCTCATGTACAGTAACTTCAATTTCTTCTGGAGTAGTTTTGTCACGGTATATAACCCAGTAGCATCCGTCCTTATTACCTATAGGGTTGTTAGGATAGCCACTATTCTGTAGAATACCAAACCTTGGTTTCTGGTCAATAAAATGTCCTGAACACGTTGACGTAACGACACTTTCTGAGAGAGAAGTATGTGTTTAATTTATAATAGAAACATTTTACCTATTTGTAAATAAAAAAAAACATATTTAAATAGGCAAAATAAAAATAAGTAATTTCACGCTACTTAATAATGCTCTGACTGACTTAAAATAAACCGCATATGTTTTGTCAGCCTTAAAATCAAAGTGTTTGTAACAACGTTATCAAATTCGTATCGGTTTTATTTTTAAAACCAAATGCTTTTAGATAAAAGGAAATATATTTCCGTGTTGAACAAGAACAATTTTAAACACTGATTACATTTCTGAAATGGATTGATAATAGCTCAGCATAACCATCAACATAAAGATACAAACGCACGGAAAGAAATAACAATTTTACTCACTATCAACACATATAAAGTCCATGAATAAGTTTTGTTGACGAAACAGACTGTCGTTACAAATGCTTTGTGGTATTCCTGCCCTTATAATTGAAAGTTGACACTGACGTTGGCCCTCACATGTCCTATAAATTTGCACGAATACCTCTTTTGGACAGTTTTGTGACATGCTGAAACATTTCGTGTCTATGAGATGGAACACATAACCACGGCGACACTTTATATTTGGGTTGTCAGCGCTGCAGATGTTTGTACGACAGACAGGTTTAGCGCTAGCTGAATATAAATTGTAAGCATGTTATTGTTTTGATATTCATAGAGAAAATAAACAGTTGTCATTCGTCATATGATACATGATATGAGCCGCGTCACGACAAAACCAACATAGTGTGTTTGCGACCAGCATGAATCCAGACCAGCCTGCGCATCCGCGCTGTCTGATCAGGATCCATGCTGTTCGCTATCAATTTCTCTACTTGTAATAGGGTTTGTAAGCGAACAGAATGAATTCTGATCAGACTGCGAGGATGCGCAGTCTGGTCTGGATCCATGCTGGTCGCAAACGCATTACGTTGGTTTTGTCGTGACGCGGCTCATATGTACTTGCTCTTTTACATTAGTTAGGTCTGTCCATGGAATGCAATCTAGTCGATTTATTTGATACACAATTGTTTATTATTCAGTAAATTAAAGCTTTATATAAGAAAGATACCAATCTACGTTCTTATGAAAGAATAATGCATACATTAAACTATGTTTTTAGAATCGGTATGACATTGTAAAACACCATCTCATACAGGTTACGGTAACTTTTTTTTCTATCCAAATATCGATATAAATATCTTACCTGGAATACACTTAAAGGACGTGTACACTTGTTTATTCGGGTAATCTTGGCAGTAATAGAAAAGTTGTTTTCTGAGATCAACAAAGGAACACGAGTTAAGACCATTGCAAAGGTTGGCCACTACATCTCTCTCAAGGCTTGAAAAGTTATGCGGCATAAGTCTAACATCTACAATCTGAATAACCTCCCCATCTTCACAGAAAAGAGCCTTACGACCAGTTTCATCACAGGTATCAATGTGATAAGTAGTTGTCGAACCTGGCAAAGACAGGAACATTTAAATAGAAGATCTAACGATAAAATATGATAAACAAGATTAACAAGGAATTGCAGCGTTCAACCTACATTTATTTTTAGTAAACAAGAAAATGCAAAGTACATCAAAAACGACTAGAATTCTCTTTGTTTGAACTAACTAATCAATATGTCATACATCCGTTTGTTTCTCTATTATCATTTTAGTCACATATGTTAATGTGGTGTTTAATTGTTGGCTCTTTTATATGAAATTTGAATTCCGTTATATGTATATTTCCCTGCCCGGTTGTCGCATTTTGCAATTGTTTAACTAGCTAAATAGCAATAATATAATTTAATAATGTTACCATATTATCTTTATACTGTTTTATAGTAAAAATTTGAAACAAAACAAGTATATTTGCTTCAATACTTTATACTTACACTTTGTGAAAATTGTAATTGTATCAATTAATCAATATTCTGCCTTGTAAGCAGTTAAACATATTGTATAAATTCAAAATAGTGACGCTTTTACATCAATACGCATTTGAAATGCACTTGTTTAAATACTTTCTTCTTTATAAAATATCGCTTTTAATGCATTGTTATATATTCTACGGCAATCTTTAATAAGGAACAAGACATCATTCATCTTTTTAAAAATATATTGCATTAGTTCGAAGTTCGTTTTTTGCTAGAAGAAGAAAAGTTAATATTAACCGGTCTGAAACAAAGATGATAAAGATGTGCATTTTAGGAAGACTTCATTTTTGAAGTGCAACAATTTCACCAAAGTGGTAGCGATGTTAATAAGCATGCTATTTATTTTGTCAGCAGTGGTGTTTTCTTTAATTTCTTATTAGCACGAAAGTTATCTTTAAAATTATATTTGGAAATACATTACTAATATATAAATAATAATTAAAATCATAATTATTAAAGTAGCCCGATAGAAAATATGTAAATATAGTATTGAATCGGACAGATAGAGCCTGCTAATTGGCGGCATTGATAAATTCAAGAAGTAGTCCATGATTTTTTGCACCGGCTCAAAATGAACATTTAACATGAAATTGGCGTTTCCTTTAAAAATGAAATAATGCGACTTGAAGTGTTTGTGTGTGTGTTTTTGTCAACATTGCTTCGTCTGTCATGATCAGCTAACCTTTTAAAAAGAAACATCGGAACAAATTGACGGTCATGAACGGTATGACAAGACAACACGTTTAACACAAAACTCTTACGAAATAGGAAAATTAATACGGTTTACAAATTAATTTAAACTAATTAATTACCCTGCACAATAAATTATTAATTTATTCATGTAATAGAAAAATAGAAATAAAAAAATCAATTGTAAGGTTTCATATTAACATTTAATGGCTCTCTAACTGCAACCATCAATTATAGCAAAGATCATATCATTGTAAATTATTTTATACCATTTTTGGTCCACATGATATAACAAGTATTTTCTTCATTCATTATATATCATAGGAAAATACTTTAAAATCGAAACGTGTGACGCTTAATAGTTATTATTCGTTTCAATGTCATTTATCTTTGCTGTATTACATACTCTAAAGTAATAACCCAGTGAGACGAAAAATAAATCGAGATATAAGACTTTCTTTTCATATAAACAAACAATTATTTTAGACGTTGTGAGAGATACTAGCACATGTTTGTCATGCTTATCATTTTTGTTTCCGGAAACAAGCCAGAATATTGAGAAGCATTAAACAGAACAGTTATTGCTGTATTCAAATGAAAGTATTATAACGCTTATATATCTGAGTATATCATTCATCTGCAGCTGCACACAGATGAAGAAATTCTCGTAATCTAGATATTTTTTATGATTCCAGACAGTATTGTTGCATGCAAATGTGATTCTAGTCATAAAAACTCGCATAAATGTAAATTGAATACAAAACATAGACAGATAATGAAATAGAAGATTTTAAGAGTTTCAGAAACTACGAAGTTTCAATTGCTTTCTATCAATTTGCACGAAGATAAGTATTGTTATGTGTAATTTAGAAAAATGCGTCAGAAAAAATGTTTATCTTACTTACTTTCAAACATCTTAAAATATACTCATTTCCTAGACTACATGTAGTATTGTTCATTTTATCAATAATGATTGAAATCGCATCATTTCACCAACATTCTGAAGACAATTTAAAAGGAATATTTTGAGAGCTAGGTCAAAAAAGTTAAAAGCTTAAAAGATAGAATTATATCCATTTAAAGAATTTACAAAGGTAATGAACACAAAATGAAGCATTTGGTGTAGCAAAATGAAACACTTGATAATACATTCAATCAAATTATATAAAAATATTGTTGTAACTCGTTATATTTCATATCACATTGTTTAACTGAATGAAACAATTTTTATTTATTTTTTTATGTAGTTTATTTATTTTTATTATTTTTTCTTTTTCTTTTTTTCTTTCTTTTTTTTTTTTTTGGGGGGGAGGGGTCAATAATCTTTGGCCACGTTACATATAAAGCATTGGATTAACATTAATGACTAAAATATCATTTTAACCAAATTCGAAACCAAACTGTTTCGAAAACATGTTTCAAAATAAGTTGATCATTGATTTAATAACGGCATGTTATACAATTAAAATGTTTTTGTCCTTGCTGAAAAGACAATAATTATAATCACCACTCGTCATTAGCATAGGTATAGGAGTATAACATCAAATTATTACAAATTATGTATCAAAGTCCTATTGAAATTTTTGATCAACACTTTATTTAAAAAAAAAAAACAGTGTGTTATTCCGATTCTCCTTTAATTCGTAATGTATTTATTACATATGTTTTCCTGTTTTAGCCGATACATTGTTCGCGACGCTTAAACAATAAAACCGTATTATTTTGAATTTAATAACAACTGCAAAGCGCTGAATTCATATGACGGACATGAGGTAAATTTCATGCATTTATGACTTCCCTTACAAAATGGATATAACAATATATTTTTAAATATTAAGGGAAATCAAAAATAATTGCCTAGCTGTTTAATTACATTATGTACAAGCAACTTTGTCTTACAGTGATCATACTTCATAGATTTATTCGAAAAGTTGTTTACTAAATACGTTTATTAGTAGTGTAGTATTTGAATCTAAGGGTGTTCCGAGCGAAAGCTGTTTATTGTGTGATGACTGACAATTTTGTTCATGTGACAAGAACAGAATATGTGTATATAATATTTGATTCTAATCCAAGGCTCAACTCAACTATTGATCATCTTCTTTCTTGGAAATAGATATGTCACAGCAATTTATGGCATAGCTATAACAAAAGATAAACACACGCCAATAGTATTAATCTTTAAAAGTTCAACGAACGTATGTTCAAAGATGCATTTATTATTTATCCAATCACGAACTTTAATTTTAATGTGTATCTTATAATAATCATGTGAACTGATCTTGCTGGCGTTTTAGATACATAATTGTGCGGATCATTGGTGTAGATATTTTTTCATTACATCGACAAAAAGTGAACTGGTAAATTTCTGCAATCGACTTGATACGGGGAATTTAGTAGATTCTAGAGAAAAACTTGATGAATGTGTTGTTTATCTAGTGTCTACATAGCAACATTGTAATAAGTATGTGGAAGAAATGAGAGCCAAATAGACTGAAGTTGACTGCAATTAGGCGAGATTGTTGTGCCAGTTATGCCAAACATTTTATAACATTCGTTTATTGTATTTGTCTATCATATCTTTATTCATCAATATAATTCCATGCAAACTGCATAGCAAAACAGTAAATAAGCCCAATGACCGATTTGAGTCTAATTTAAGTCTTACTTTTACAATTTAAGAAATGTACCATTGAAATACACATTCCATACGTAACTTGAAATGAAGGTCTAAGAAACTGAAATAAGTAATAAACTATAACCTTATTTTATAATATAATTATAAACAATTTTAAAGAATACATAAACAGCCATGTTGAGTATGATGTCTTACTTCTGTTTATGACAAAAAAAAACTTTGTTATTAACGTTGCATATATTGTTGACCTTATTCTTATTTATGTTAATGCTTGGTTTTATTTCAATTGATGTCGAGTCTCAACCATTAATCAATCTTAACCAGTCATAACATTTCTGTTTCGTTAGCCGACTTTGTGAAATGTGACATTATCAGAAGCTACTTCACTTATATTGCTTTGAACCCATGCTTATAAATTATCCGACCTAACCGAGTTATAATTGGAATGTATTCAATCTATAAAGTAAAATACTCATGTTAAAATAAAACATTCCGAAGCGGCTCCCATGTTATGTCGTCGTTTTTTGTGAGTAAAAATGTTTACAAGGAAAAAAACAAAGACAACTTACAAAACGGTAACTACTTATTAACCTTATTAACGATAACTGAATAAAATTATATAGAACTAAACTAGAATCTAGTCTATGAAATTATTATTTGTCTTAGTTTTAGAAGAATTATTGTAGTCTTTTTTCAAATGTATCGTTACACATTTACCTTGGTAGATTAATCAGTTTAGTAAACACTAATTTTAAAGCCGTAATTTGATAATGCTTTTTATTAAGATAGTACTACACTTAAATTGAATTATTTACATTTGCCTGCTATACTCGTATATTTTTCTAAGATCAGAAGTCATTTTAATAAAATCGATATAGCAATTACAAACGGTCTCCTGCTTTGTTTGCTGATTAACATATACTTATGCTAGATAAATCCTATCACAGACGCGTAAATTTGACGTGTTTAGCAGACTAGATAATACGAGGCTCTCATGCAACATAACCCGTCGCTTTTCAGGAGATGAAAGACATCCGTTTGTGAAAATGATTGCATATTAAACGATCGGCTTTTTCTGTATTCGAAATGCGTTTAATATGATGACAAAATAGCTTACTGGATTTAATTACATTTTACGTCGTATATAAGTATGTAAAATAACAAATTTCTTTATGCAACATGATTTATGATATACTATGATTGGTTA